TTTAGCAGTAGTGCTGTGGAACATCCAGGTGCTCTTTTTGCAAACTTCAAACGTGCAGATCAGAACACATTTTATGACCAACTTATGCAGAAATCCAGGTAATTCCAAAGGGTTCACATACTTTTTCTTGCAACTGTATATTCCTATGGGACGGTAGACTCTTTTAGAAGTTCCAGAGATCCGTTAAGATCTCTCTTCCCTCAATGCAGTTTCCAAAACATCAGACAACTTTTAAAAAAAATAATAACAACATTGATAACACTTCATCAAGACTTTCCCATTTAAGAAATGAGTTCACTGTGGAGGTTTGCGAGAAAAAAAAAACGTTCTTCTAGTATGGAAGGTCATTCGTAGTGAGAGATTGAAATACAATTGCTCATCTTCTGCAGTGTTCCTTTCATCGCTCTCTCAGTGAAGTCAAATCTGTTTGACACAGCATGAAAGTGAAAGTGTGCATGAATATGAAATGCACTTCCCTCCCTGCATCCCTCCCAGGGTTCTTTCTTGGTCCTTCAGGCCGTGGCTCAGGCTCTGGTGGCTTGCGGAGCACCCAAAGGATCCATCGTCACCGTGGGCAGCATCGTGGGAAAGGTGGGAGCATGGTCTCTCTAATAAGTAGCTTTAAGGTTTTTATCCAGAAAGGTAAAACAATAAAAGTGACAGTAGAATCATCCCCAAACATTAAAGCTACAGGTTAGTGGCAATTGTGGTTATGAACTTTTATAGCAGTTTTCTAAAGCATAAGACACAAGAATACACTTTCTGAAATCTATCAAGAATATATTTGTATTTTTAAATAAAGTAGGAATGCCAGACCATTTTTTTTTAGGAGCTGGTTAATGAGTTGTTCAGTCCTCTCTGAGTTGGGGGGGGGGTTTGACCTTTTGATGTTCCATAACAAAACCTTTAATGCTGAACTTGATGTATCCCTGTGTCGGTTCCCTTAATGCTCGTAGGTGGGAAACATCGGACAGGCCAATTACTCCGCCTCTAAAGCAGGAGTGGAGGGTTTGACCAGGACCGCGGCCAAAGAGCTCAGCAGGTGAGAAGAGCCTGAAGCAACAAACACATCCTGACCCACAGTGATGGTGAGTACAGAGTCATACAATATAATAACCTGCTTTCTTTGTCCGTTGCTACAGGTTTGGCATTCGGTGTAATTGTGTGCTGCCAGGTTTCATATCCACTCCGATGACGGATAAAGTTCCAGAGAAAGTTATTAGCAGGGTAACGCACACACACGCACGAGAACACACAGATTAAGTAACACTTCATCTATTAGGTTTAAAATCCTGATTTTAACCTCCCGTCGTAATTCTGAACAGTGATTACTATGAAGTTTATAAAACTACTTATATTTTGTGCTGTAAATTACATTTTGTGCATTTCAACGAGTGAAGCTATTTGAAGTCCAAGATGTACCAAACACAAACTGTTATTTAAGCCAAGAGGGTATTGCTGATTGTTTATTATAAAGTCAAAATAACATGAAAATCCCTTTCTTTCCAGTGTATAATTCATCACTAAACACCTCTTTTAGTAAACCCATTTCTTGCCTCGATTTGAGTTTAAACTGCAGTCACTTTGACCTCCCTGCAGTTAAGATAATACAAAAACCCTTTATTGATACAGCCTTAAATCTGCTCTGTCATGTTTCATTGTGTTTCAGATGAAATCCTTGGTGCCTCTGGGAAGAATGGGTGAGCCTGCAGGTCAGTGCTGACTCATGTTAACATCACTGTGTTCACCGCAGACCTTCAGTCTTTATTTCACTGTATAGGATTGTAAAGGAACTTTTCTAAGCTCATGAATCTAAACTAGAAAAAGGTTTTACCGTTGGACACAAAACCATTTGAAATGCTGTTTTTTGTAAATACTTCTTTCTTCTTAACTTCCCCACACCTCTGATTCTTTTGTTCTGTTAAGTGAAATGAAGTACAGGGATGTAGATTGACCTGCCTTCTCTTTGTCCTCCTCTAGAGGTCGCTGATGTCTGTGCCTTCCTCGCCTCAGATGACTCTCGATACATCACCGGAGTCAGCCTGGAAGTGACAGGTGGTGTGACTCAGTTCTCTCACAGCTGTTTCTGTAAAAACTCTCCTGTCATTTCATTGTCTTCAACATGTGTTCTTTCTTTGTCAGGTGGACTCTTCATTGGATAAATGGACTGTCTGTCACACCGATGAAGACCAATGGGAGGCCAGTTTCTTCGTAGTTCATTTAAATGTTGAAAATTATACTACTTTGATAATTATGTTTTGAAATTGTGGTTGTGCCAATAAACACCTGTTTGTAATATTTCTGTACAGAATGTTGTATTTTGATTTGAAAGATCTGAATAAAGTGTTTAACTAAAGCCTTCAGACGCCTGCACTGTCCTAAACTCTCATCCTAACCCCGCTCAGAGGGCGGACCGGAATCAAACGTACTCAAGATCTTCAGACCGCACTGTCACCCCACTGGAGCCTCTCAGGATTATCTTTGTGCTTTAAAAGCTTTTCTTCTGATCCTCTGTAGGTTGGTGATGGAAACACTTTTGGTTAAGTTAAAGCACTGAAAACGGTTTGGACCGCTGAGCTCTTTAAAGGGCGCTCCACTCTGATAATGAGCTCATCTGCTTTCGCCGCTGCATAGTTTACCGTAAACATCAAATAAAAGCACACTATGGTAAATCCAAAATATTTTTAAAACATGCCATGGAATACTACCTCGAAAATATCATAAAAAAACAACATACACTGAACAAAAATATAAACGCAACGCTTTTGTTTTTGCTCCCATTTTTCATGAGATGAACTCAAAGATCTAAAACATTTTCTAT